AATTACACAATCACACACACGTCCGGTTCTTCTTACCGCGACGGCTGCTATACTCCAACTATAGTCCGCTGACTGGAGAACTGTTGATAACACGCTCTCGTAAGCTTGCTCGGAACTATCTTCGGCGATGGCCACGTTATAACTCGGCGGCTGTACAACTGAAGTCGCCGACTGCTACAGTAGATCTCGCTGGTAGCCACATTAGAACTCACTGGTACCAGCTGTGCAGCTCACTTATATAGCTGCAGTGCTTGCCGGTTGCATAATGAGTGCCACGTCACAGTAGGAAGTTGATTACGGGTACGTAGCGTTGCGCATTACGTCACCGCGTATAGCTGCCAGGATGCGGGGTGATTACTCGCCTATTACGCGAGCGTTACGTTACCGCTGAGGGGTGGGAGGGGAGCGCTGACTCACCCGCCGCGTCACTGCTGGTGTGTGGGGGGGGCTCGGCTTGGCGCAACATGTCACAATACTATAGTTTTCTGTGAAGTAACACTGAGCAATTCTGTAGATGGCTGCCGGTGTTTCAGAGCAATCTGTGCTCTCCATCTTACTTTAATTAAATTAATTGTATTTCTTTGGGCATAATCAAGATAAAAAAGTACACTAAATTTATGAGACTTTATATGGTTGATGGTATCACTTGAATATGCGCTAAACACTCTCATGTGTGTCATCAATGTATTAAGAAACCATTCCACATCTCATATTTTACTGTAAGACCCACAAAAACAAACGAATATCACAGTACATATACTCTGTGCAGATGTGTTCACAAAGTTACAATCCATGGAGGAAGCCAGTTTTTGGCCAGGATGCATTCCCTCTCCTTGTCAATATTACAATATATAATAGCTTCAACTTTAAAAAGACAATAACAATAAAATTGAGAAATTAAAGTTGAATCATCTAAATTAAAAAAAGAAATCTGGGAATGAAGACATGAATCTCATCAAAAAAACAATACTACAGTGCTTGCACACCACTGCAACAGCCATGCCTACAATACACAGTGGTAAGAGTATGAAGTAAATTTTGTAATATCTTTGGTTTTTCTCTACTGGGTCTAAAATAAGAAACTGAAGAGTTACTTTTGCATGTGCATATGTGTATTTGCATTTTTATATCAGACATACCAAAATAACTGGAAAAACAAAACAAAATTCAGAGTGGTCAACACATGTAAAATTTAACTAAAAGCAATGAGTTGGCGACTATGCATCTTGCATACAGCATCACATTGGCCGCGCCATAGCTCAAGTGGTTAGTCGCTGGCTTCCCACCATGGCGGCCCGGGTTCGATCCCGGGTCTGGTCAAATGGGATTAGTGGTGGACAAAGCGGCCCTGGGGCAGATTTTCTCCAAGTACTTCGATTTCCCCTGCCAATCTTCATTCCATCAACTGCTCCACAATCACCCTCACCTATCATCTGAGGCTGGTTCAATAGGCCAGAAGTGGCCGCAGTTAAAGGGACTTAGTCCCACCCCACTAGCAGTAAAAAAAAAAAACAATACAGCATCACAGAGTGAAGTGATGTTGGCAGGGGGTGGAGTGCTTAGTTATCAATTTTGTACTCACCACTGCATTCAGTCTGGAACCCAGGAACATCTGTTTGTGCAAAAGAGCTCTGACTATTTCCATTTCATCCTTGGAACTGAAATGTACACGCAAAAATGAATCGCCCTTCTGACGCGGCTCAATCCTGTGCGAGCCGATTCCCAGGGATGCATTCAGCAACTGCTTCAGGTCCTACCAAGAGAAGTTAAAAAAGTGGAACATAACCTACAAAAGCTGTGAGTTTATTTGCATTAAAGCAGTGACTGGATATTGCTTTAGAACATTACACAGGTAACCTGCTTGTGTCACATTCAACCCATTCTCTATATGAATGGAACATAGTATGTATAGGAAATAAGCACAGTGAAGCACTAAGGCGTGGTGTAGTTACTTAGTCTGTGTTGGCTAGATTTTAGTTCCTTGATACTACTGTGCTGGCAGCTGGACTGAAACTTGCCAGTAATTTAAAAAAGGTGACGCTTGGCCTGAACTTGTACTCTTCTCCAAGTATAATGAGAATGATCAAGTCAAGGAGGATGAGGTGGGCAGGGCATGTAGCACGAATGGGGGAGGCGAGGAATGCATATAGGATATTGGTAGAAAAGTAGGAAAGTGACCACTGGGAAGACCAAGGCATAGGTGAGTGAAAATATTAAAATGGATCTTAGAGATAGGATGGGATGGTATAGATTGGATTGATCTGGCTCAGGATAGAGACCAGCGGAGGGCTCTTTTGAACACGGTTCCATAAAATGCTGGGAAATTCTTGAGTGGCTGCACAATTGGCGGCTTCTCAAGGTCTCAGCTCCATAAGTAAGTAAGTAAGTAAGTAAGTAAGACACTTGACCTGACGAACCAGCATTGGTACAGTTCTAGAATGCATGTATCATAAAGGTTTACAAATACTTTCAACGCTTCTGGTCACACAACATCTGATGATACTGAATAATGAAGAACATTTGAATGGAACCACTCACGGTCTAATTTAAAGTACCACTCTGGCAGTTACTGAAGGAACTAAGGTAAACCACAAAAAAATCAGGCAAAGTAACTGATGTCCTAGCTGAGATTCAAACCAGGTACCACCAGAACCACCTGAATACAAGTCAGAAGTACAACCACTTGAGCCATTCTACTTTGTGATTAATGCTGGAAACAGGGAAGATTGTAAAGTTCAACATGACTTCCAAGTGTACTTTGTTTTTCCTTGGCACTACAGCCCCAGTGGGCCTAGGCCTACCTCCATGAACTCCGTTCACTTCGGTTTTTCTAGATCTTACATATACGGTAGGACTCCTTGGGCGACTGATCAGCTCCTCGCATCCAAGTGTAATAGCTTATTAGAATCTGTAATAACATATTCCTGCCCAAGGAAAATGTGTTTATGCAGCATAATACAAAGCATAGACACAGATATATCTACTACACTCACTTAAACAAAACTGACAGAATGTCTCAGACAATGCCAGGAACTTGCAGGGATTTCAAAAGACTGATATAGCATATTCTGTATTATGTTTGTAACAGTTCTCAGTTCTCATCAAAATGTCACAACATTAAATTCCATTCATTACAGCTCTGTTTCCATGCATACCACTGAGCTGTCATGTGCAGGCACACTTTTGAGGGGGACGACCTAAGGCTCAGTAGTTAATTGACAACTGATGGAGCTAATGTTACAATTGGATGGGTCATGTGGTGTTCAGTTTCGCTCATATGTTTCACTTACCCCAGACTGTCCTGGATGCAATCCACCTACTAGTAAAACATTCGAATCCAAAACTATGGGCTGTCTTAATGGAGGTGGCCGTATAAATGTTTGCTTTGCCTCAGCACCGATAGTATTCTCATCTAATTTCCCACTACTTTCTGGTGCAACCTGAGAATCAGTCGTGTTATGTACAAAAGTAATCGGTTTATTTTCCATTTCAGTCTGATCAGTTGAACTCTGATGGCCCTCAAATTGTTTCTCATTACTTCTGTTTACAACATCTGATACTTCTTCCACATCCGACACCTTGGATACATTTCTATTTTCTTCTGATGTCATCTCTGCACCAACCACTTGTTCTGATGGAGGTTCACTATATGGTTGTGACTTCGTTATATTCGCTTCTCCCTTAATGGGAACACTACAGATTTCTTCGACTGAATCTTCCGCCTGCTTAGTGCTTTCTATGAACTCGCCTTGCTCTGTCTTTGATTCTTCTTTTATAAATTGTTGTGTTTTCTGCCCAGACGATACAACCTCTTCAGTAGGGCCATCCTCAGACTCAAACTGTGCATTTGTTATTTCATCAATCACCTCATACTGCTCACCCTCAGACTCGAACTGCGTATCTTTTACTTCATCTATCACCTCATACTGTTTACCTCCTACCTCTATAGGTATATAATCTTCTGAATACATTACAAATGGTTTCCTCCAAAGAAATCTAAGAACAACGCTAAGCACAGCACACGAACCAACCCCTGCCGACCTTGGCGATATTGTTGATCACTGCGATCACTGCCATCACCGCATTCCCACCTCTTCCACGGTTCACACTTAATTTCTTCCCTTTCTGCACTCGGTTCACGGGGGCTACTTTTGCAGTGTCGTGTATTCGGTACTAAAACATTCTGTAGGCTCTATAGCTCAGCTCAGCTAAGCTTACTTTTTACTTAATTCTTTGTGTCGGATCGTCATTGATTAACGGAGTACATTCACAAATTTTATATGTGACACTTTACGTCAGGCGATATCATTGAGATTACTGTGTCACGTCATTCCAGGGCCCGGATTTTGATGAGATGTCATTTTTTCCTTATATCCTATGCGATGCTCTTAAATATATAAATCTCGGATATGAGCTGCTGGTTACAGAAATGTAAATTTTATGGGTAATTTTTTGTCATTTTTTGGTTTCAAGTCATTTTTTCATTTGTGGGGTAATTTTTTGGTAAATTTTTTGGCTCTTAACGGTATTTCTTATGATTTCTGGCCATTTTAGGGAATTTCTCTTCATATGTTTTCTGAAATGTGAATAACATGGAAGCGAAGTGTTCTTTCTTATCTCCTTTACGTCATTCTTCTGAATATTTTAGGTCATTTTCTTAATATTTGCAGGTCATCAAAATCCGGACCCTGCATATTACATTTTTGGGTCATATTTTAGGTCATTTTTTAAACATTTTCAGGTTATCAAAATTGGGGACCTGCTCATTACGTTTGGTAGATATGTAACAACAGCAAGGTCCTACCCAGAAAATTGAGGAAGTTGGCTTATCGGATCACAGATTGGTCTGAAATGTTATGATGTCATTTCACACACGATCATAGCCTTTTTTTTATGTATGGTTCTAAAGAAGTGGGCCGGCATAGTGTAGTTGGTATAGGGAAGGGCTGGACGGCAGGGGTTCAATTCCCAGCAGGAGTAAGAAATTTGTCCCGTCTTTATAGCATTCAGACCGGTTCTCGAGCTTCTAGAGTCCACCCAGCCTTGTATCCAATGTGTACTGTGGTTTGGGGGCCGAGGTTAAGCATGCTGGAGCTATATGCTCATTGCCCCCCTCCCCCCACACTTATTTGTGATGTAGTGCCTAATTAATTAATCACTTGGACAACTTTATCTTTTTATCTCTGGATCTGTACACAGCAGGTAGAGTGCAAGCAACAGTACATTACCACAGATGAAGTGAATGATTTCAGTACCGCTGTTTTCTGCGAGTAAATATATTCCCCATGCATACCTAGTTTTTACCTCTTTAAAACTCAAAAATGTAATATTATATGCTATACTAAATTCTGCACTAAGCATTACCAGCCAGTGTTTACTGTTGGAAATATTATCAGTTATCTTGTTCCATGATTCATGAGGAACAGTTGTTTTGCTGTTTCTGTTTTAAAGTCTTAAATATATATTACAGCCATCACAAAACCATGTATCATATCATTAGCTGCTTTACACTCCATAAGACTGCCTTCTCAAATTCAGTCTTCCCTTGAAGTTTTCCAAGCACATTATGGCATACATTTGTTCTACCCCACCTCAACCATAGTAACAGTGCATTCATTATAATTATACCAATAATACTATGTGGGAAACAAATTATTGAGCTCTTATGGAATGTTCTCCATTCCCAAGTGTTGCTTGTTGGGATTACAGTTTACAGAATAAATAATCCGATGATCTAATTATTACTAGCATGTCCTGATATATTTCTAAAACTTGATATCTTTACATGATATTTCCCCATTTCTGAAGGGTGAGGCATCCCAAAGCTCAATGTCTTTCCCCTTACCATTCAATTTATAACACCATTAAACTCCTCACAAGGTGGAGAAGAAAAAGGTTCTATGTAAATTATCAGTCACTATTATATTTAAGCATCCTATTGCATTTATATATCTTTCATGCACAATATATTCAATCCTCGATGCAATTATTTCTCTTTTATTTCTCATCCTTACAATGTGTTTCATCCTCAAACAGCCATTATCAGATGTTCTGTCTACACCAAAACTGTTGCACTGTATAAAATGCACACAATATTCACTTATTTACACATGTTCAACTGTGATGTTTCTTGTTTAATTTATTTGATGTACACTTGGTATTTATTTGCATTGATTAATTTCACTCACTTTATAATTTAATATTGGTTTGAAATTTCTTTGAATCTCTTAAAATTATATAATTCTTGCACCTCTATTTGGGGCATTGTCCACTTGTCCAAATGATATGGTTCTACTGTTGTGGCTTGGTGTTCATGTGTTGCTTCTGTTTGTAAGCTCTTTCTTTATCATTTCTTCCTGTTTGTATGTTGTTCCCTGAGGGGCAGTGACGTTTGCATGTATGTAAATAAGGGAACAGTTTTAGCAAAGACAGAACACCTGATGATGGGCGTTTGAGGCCGAAACATGTAAGGAGGAGAAATAAAATACTGCATTGAGGACTGAATATATTGTGCATGAAAGGTATTTGATCACTCAATGAAAACAAGATCCAGTACAGCAATTTTTTCCTGCTGTGGCAGTTCTTATATGGGCTACATTTTGCTTAATTTGAACACAGTTACTGCAGAAGAAAAACACTCTGCATGATGTATCCCCATCTTCTGCAAATGTATTGCATTTCAACTTCCCTTGTTTTTATAATTAGTTAACATGTGACCAGTGACAAATCCTACATTATTACATCAGATAATGCAGATATGTAACTGCATGACAGCACCATATTTTATTTCCTTTATATAGCAATGAATGTGAAAAATCAGTCTTGGAATCTTGCAGTCAACTGATGACCACCTGCTCCACTGGGCAAGCACATGTGAAGACAAGACACAATTGCATATAAGCTACGCAATTCATAGTGTATCACAAAGCCAAACATAGGTTTTATTGACTGAAGGAGAGAAAATTATTTTTTCAATATTCCCTCAGGTTATGATGCATAGCAGGATAATATTGCTCAATGTCTGTACCAACATCAAAAATATCCTCTCTTCAGCATCATCTTAGTCCTTCTCTAACTCTTTGCCTGCCAGGTTTCCATCATTCAGCCTTTCCTTCACATAGTCTATCTATATGTCTTTTCTTACATCTTGTATTCTCATGGTGTATTATCAGCCTTGAATCCCTCTCATATTTTAGTACACATTTTTGTCAATTTTCTGACAAGCAAGTAACTTAACTCTGATACAGTATTTTGAAAACTGCAGACAATATATAGAGAGCCCAGTATTTGTACAAACAATGGGGTAATACAAAACACTGTTGTTTGTGCAAGAAATGCAACTATTATATATTTGATAATACAAATAAACATTACAATGGAATCTGCAACTGATTATTAGACACCTACACACAACTCCACATGGCAATGCCCATCCCCTGTAACACAAAATGGACCTTGAGTCCTCGGAAAATCATCAGGTTACTAGCAATCTACAGATACATTCAATCCTGAAACAAATTAATGAAATGCTGCAAACAAAGAAACTTACCACAAAAATGTGAAAACAAATTCAAGTTAAATATTCTGACAGTAACTGTTCACATTTCTTCCTCTCGTATGTCTTTGGCAAACATAACATCATTTCCCTTTCTGCAATCTACTGACCATCTTGGCAAATCCTCTTTGTAGCAGATAATTTTGCACATATGGTGTGCTTCAGAGATGAAGTTTCATTGGGTGTAGTCACACTGAACAATGCTAGGCACAAGTGCGTGTTTTCAGGGTGAGAATTTAAAGCCTCAATATAAGAGCACTGTCACATTGGGAGGGATGAAGCATGGCAACAATCAAGTAAACTGAATGTCAAAAAATAATAATTTTACATTCACTACCATGAAAACCTCAACTCAGAAATAAACTGAATGATTCAAACTGTCATCATCTAGGTTGTGGCAGCATGCACTCTTATAGATGGCTATAAACATTTCTGAAGAACATAGTGCTCCCAACTATTTTCTTTTTTGTTCTAGTGGTCTTTGGCCAAGTCAGTCCTGTTTTTGTGATTTTACTTTATGAATCTATTTCTATTATTCTTCGGTTCTGTTCTGCACTGTTAATAATGTTTGTATAAAATTATTAATATTTCTTGCTGTTTTTTGCATTAATGATGATGGTAGTGATAATGGTAGCTGCACTTTTAGTTGGGTTAGCTTTTTATATAGCTGCTATTCTTTTAGTGTTGTTGATGCCAGCAATCTATGAGATCCATAATTCCATATTCACGTAGCTTTCTGTTACATTTTGCACTTAGGTATAGTGGAGGATTTTCATGTCCATTTTGTGTTCTGTTACCGACCCAGTAATTGCTTGGGGGAAGTTACTGTTCCACGGTTTTATGTGTACTTATGCTTGAACTTCTTTGTATTGTTTGAACCTGCTCCCAGATGTTTTGCCATTTATTCATTAGTTGCCTTTTGATAATATTTTTTGTTCTTGGGGTGGTATTACATATTGTGAGACTGTGCTAATTTTTATTGCTTTCTGTACCAGCATATCCACTTCTTTGGGTAGCATGTTTGTCCAAAACACTGATATGCCACGATTTGTAATCTGATATAGTTAACATTTTGGACCGCTACCTTGGTCTTTAAAGAAATTTCTTCCACCATAAAGATGAAGGTAGCATGTCCCTCCTAAATACTGATAATTACCAGACTACAAAGTGTTTATCTCATGACAGTGATCTCCATAGTTATTGCCATGAGAAACTCAAATTCTCATCAAAATCTTCACTGTGGAAAACCTGATATTTCATAAATCAAATGATATCTGAAATCTCCCACTATTGTTTTATGTAACTCTTCTAAAATTACACAATATCAGATAACAAAAATAAAATGCACTCCTGAAGAAAGTGCATGGTACAGAGGCAGTTAAGCAGTTGTGATGCCAGATAATTCACACTGTGGTGCAAAATGTAACCACAGTAGTACCAAATTACTTGAAAATTATGAATGTGGTATTCTGGAATGTGATGCCATGTAGTCTGGTAGAGACTTAACATTTCAGAAGAACCTGCTGCTTCCTTCTTCATGTTAGAAGTTGTTCCTCCAAAATGCTATATTTCTCTCAGAAGTGGCATGACATCTAAGAATATATCTTACTATTCACTACCATGACCCACTCAAATTTCATGTTATCTGAAACTGATATCCTATCAGTGGATGTCACGAACTACCAACAAAATAACTACGAACAATACTGTCACAGCTCAGACTATAACACTAACTGTTCCCTATTTTTACAGGAAATCTATGGACAAAATGTAACAATGAACCTTACACTTATACAATGTTTGCCTGTATATCCACCATATTGCACTGCTCATGGAATTTTTACAAGATTTTGTGAAAGTCCTGCAGTGAAGACATTAATGAGGATTGTTGTTTCCTGGGATGATTCCACATAGTCTAGTAAATATTTATCATTTTGAACTTATCTGTCTACCAAAATACAGTGTCACAATCCAGTCACACTGCCATGAGACCAACAAGGCTCACCCAAATCTGATCTACCATCTTCTGTACTTTCTACCTTCTTTTGGTTAACATGATGAAATTAATGCATAATGAGGCCACTACCAGTTCAAGAAACATCTACTATACTTGAAAGTCAAAACCAACTCTATCAATTTCCTCAAGGCCTAAAAACTGAAGCACACTTTTCTACTTATTTCAAGATTACTGTCTTCTGGGATGTGACAATATGCAGTCTGATACATATTCACTAATGTTCTGGAAGAGCCTCTTCCCCCCCCCCCATCACCAGGGTACCCTTCAGATGACTACAGGTTGCTCCAAAATGTTATTATCTATCAGACTACACAAAATCAAATCCCAGAAGAAAACTATGTAATCCTCATAACCACCACAAAGAGAACCTCATATCTCACACACTAATTTGCTTACACCCAATCTGTAACAGCAGTGAAGATTCCAGCGGGTAAAGGTTAATATTTCGGATGGCCTATAGCAAAGGATGATCTCTGATGCAATGGAGTCTTTCTAGTAGTCAGCTGCGTTAAGATGTGGTTAGTATAAAACATTTTGGGAACCATCTATGGGGGTCATGGCTGCACATTGTATTTATAAACAAAGAGCATGCTATCAACTGTTCCAGGGCAGAGTCAGGCAGTTGGTGGGGTCCTGGTCCAGTATGAAGAACTGCAGTCAGCTGGTCGGTGGTGTCCTGACCCTACATGGACTGCTGAGGGAACAGTGACTGCAGTCAGGTGGTCAGTGGTGTCCTGTCCAAGCATGGAATGCTACATATTGTAAATGAATATACACAGTGCTTGAGGTGGAATGAAAATAGAACCGCGATGGTTTTCCCCTTTTAATTCATAGACACAATTGTACATTGCATTTACTGCCAAAGAAGTAACGGGATGCTTTTAAGCCATTTAGAAAAGAACCAGGATGCCATCCCGCCGCATCCCGCCCCACCTCAAGCCCTGAATATACAATAACATAATAGCTGCTTGAACCGATTCATCATTGCTGGTGATAATGGGAATGAGGAAGAGTATGGTGGACAGATGGTAGATGGGCAGGATCATCACAATAAAACTATTCTTCAGGGTTAGCTACAGCCACACAGTCAAATATTAGGGGTCAAGAAATAATTACAGTTTTCATGTTACTTTATATCTCAAAAAATGAACATTACTTCTGAAATCACAATTTTGTCCCTTCCTCCAGAACATTCAACAGACCATCAGATGCAATTCCACCTTGTATTGTGCAGAGGAGCTTGCGTGGTCTATAGTCTAGTGCAGTGGACTGCCACCAGCAATACCATCATCCATTTTTATGATTCTACTGGAAAAATTCTGGAGTGAATGACCAATCATATTTCTTCAAGGTCTCTCAACAAGAGCTCTGAATACTCCTCCTCCACCTCATATGGCCTCCATGATTCTCCTCCGCCTCTTCCTCGACCTTGGAACTCCTTTGCCCTCCCTGATCTATCACGTGAATGGCCTGGTGTCTTGAGGAGACTGAAGAGCCCAACACGCTCCATAAGAATCAATACCATGTACCCTTTCCCATTGGGCTTTGTGTCCACTGGAATTGCTCTGAGTGGAAAGAATGGATATCCCATTTCACTTGCATTGGTGGGTTTGCTCAGCGCCATTATGGGACTGAAACGTGAGTAAAACATCTCAGTCACCAGCACCACTCGTCTAACTTGTGGGATTTTCCTCAGTTCCTTCATTGCCTTGGCACCTAAAACATTGCATACATTTTCACACATTTAGGCATTCTCTACACAGAAAGACAGAGAAAGAAAAGAATTCTTTAAGTGATGGTCATACCTGTCTGTCAGTGATAGTACCAGCACCTAAACTGTTGGACAAATTTTCAAAATTTCCCATGGTGGATTTTCATTCAAGATCGATCACCATCTTTAGCCATACTGATCCATAACAAAGCCTACTTTACATAGAGCCATAAACAAAGTTTTTCATATCCATCATAAACTAATTCTTAAATTCTGGTAGAATTCAGTATCAGTCTATCTGCATAAGATCAGTTAACCATTTTGATTTTTAACTGTATTATCAGATTTCAAAGCCCTCTTTTACATAAAGTCATGTATCCCATAAACCACTTAGCAGATTTTGTTAAAATATGATATTAAGCATTATGATGCTGCTGATATATGAATTTTGCTTGTTTTGCTAGAATGCCATTTATATACTGGCTGCAATTAAGCTTAATGAACTTCCAAGAATGTCAGTGTGAAGTCTGCGTGCTCTGTTATGAGTACACCCTTTTCAATCATGTCTGCTCTCCAAGATGCTTGTGGCCAGACAGTAATTTATTTTCAAGAAAATAATTTTGTGATAATTCACATAAAGTGCCCATAATTTTTAAGTTATAATAATAAAACATTCAAGTTATCCCTGTACTTAATTAAGTGCCACACCATAGAGGCACATGGGGGGATGGGATGTATAGTTCCATGCATTCTTAAACTTAGTCCTAGCTGGTGCTGAATGGTCAGCTTTCTGCCCTGGCTGCTTTAACGCCAGGAAAAGAGCCCCAAACACACAATGAGTAGGAGGGTCAGCAGGCCACAGAAAGGGGCTAGATACTCTGGGGGAGAGAAAATCTCTTGCAATGCCAGAAATTGAATTTCCGTTCCCTAGTAATCTTGCCTGTAGCCTAAACACTGTACTGTCTAAACTATCCCAACTGCTATAAGCTTGATTCAAATCAATGGGACGTGAGCATGAAAAAAAAAAGTTCTGAAGTGTACAGACTGTTACTGGCATGGTTACAACAATGTTCAAGAAAGAATTCTAATACTCATAAGGGGATGTGGTTATAAAACATCAGCTTTTGAGTCCACAACCCATGTAATGCTATAATTTGTCACTTGAAACTGGGTGTAAAATCGTTTGGCTTAAAAGACCTAAACTGAGAAATACATAAGAAAATGACACAGTTCCTAGGGAGCAAAACATGCCTGATGTCACAACCAACATACTAAATCATACTGTCAGTGCTTACATAAGCAAAAGTTGTAACTAACTCACATGTAGAAAAGTGGTTGGAAGTGCTGATCACGATGGCACAAGCCTTGTTGCATGTTATCTTTGTAGCAAGTGTAGGTAGCACCTCATCCGGCTTGCCACCAAAATACTGGCAGCCTGTTATTCCATTAAGCTCTGCATGTTTCTTAGCCTCTCCAACAAAGTGATCTTCGTCCACACTGAGCACTTCTCCAGCCATCTGCAAGAGAATGTTTCTTTCCAGTTAAACATGTCTGTATACGTAAGCATGAGTGACAGAGAGTCCCTAATGACACTTGCACAAAGCAACTGAGTCATGCATAGGAAGGGCACAGGTCCAGCTTGCAAGTTTCACAACACTAAAACAATATCCCTTATATATATCAGCAGATCTATTTTGCAAGCTATAAACAAAACACATGGATATTCACTGGGATAGTTTAGTCATGTCCCTAGATAGAAGCATTAAATGGCTGGTCCTTGTGACTGAGATGCACATTTAGATGGATGCCAGCTTCGTAGGATTAAGAAACCAGTTTGTGACTGGCAGCTAGTACGAAGCTTATCCTTACCTTTGACAAGTACAGTCCAATGAGGCCAAAGCCACAGCCCAATTCCAACACAGTAATTCTCTTTGTAGGGGCCAGTAACTGATTAATGCCCCTGCAAACCATCTTGGCTGCATGGATGTTATTCCAGAAGTGCATTGCTGGCAGAAGGTGGAACTTCAAATCCAGAACTGTCTCTTCAAGGTAGGGTGTTCCCACTACCAGGTTCAACTGTTGGGCTTTAAAAGCAGGACTGTGGAAATTCAGAACATCCATTTCAGGTCATATGGGATTTGTGGCTGAAAAATTGGCACTACAGTGATTTTTCCCTGAGCACTTCAGTTTCCCCTGCCAATTCTCATTCCATCAACTACAGAAATGACCATAATAGAAAAGATAGGAAGAAAAACATCCTACGACATCAATATTAATTATAACAACAACGTGCCTTAAAGAGTACTATTTGACCAAGTGCACAGTGCAGCAGACTCCCTAAAATTGTGTTGCCTGAAGATGGCCCTGTGCAGCTGAAACATGTAGCATAAACACTGAATGTACATATTTTAATGACACTTCAAACATTTAGCATAAACACTGAATGTACATATTTTAATGACAGTTTAAACATTAACAAACATTTTAGCGAATTAAATAAGATTTAATGTCACTGAAAGTTTAAACTGATATTGCTGCATTATAGATAGAAAAGAAGACTACAGAAATTATGCCCCAATGGAGCAGGATGCTGAAATATAAGATTCTATAGAGAAGGCAAATCTGGGGTAGTAACAATGAAAAAAATTAAATACTCAGATAGTGCACATGCCCTGTCATAATAATGCAATGCATGGTTTGTAAAGGTAAAAATAAAAAAGAAGTGCTTCCTGTAAACTTGCAGTATTGCAACACAGCCTTAGGTGAATACTGCAGATCCTAATATTAATTAAATTGTTGTTAAGAAGATTGCTTGTAATGACAAAATTATTGCTCTGAAGTTAAAGGTGGAACCGGTAGATATACTGATTATGCAAGTGTACATGCCGACATCAGAGTATGAAGATGAAGAAATAGAAAAAGTGTATGACACAATTGAAGAAATTCTTCAGGAAGATGCAAGAGGTGACACAAACAGCATCATATTGGGAGACTGGAATAGCATTGTTGGAGATGAACCATATCAGAATATTGTTGGACCACATGGAGTAGGAAGACGGAATCACAGGGGTCAAATGCTTATTGACTTTTGTGAACGAAATGGACTGATTGTCACCAACACTTGGTTCAAGAAGCCAAAGAGAAGAATTTACACATGGAAGGCACCTGGGGATTAGAGGAGGCATCAGCTGGACTACATCCTTGTGAAACATCGATTCAGAAACAGTGTGAAGGATGTGAAGACGCTGCCTGGGGCAGATATTGACTCTGACCACAGCTTACTGGTTGCCAAGTTCCGAACCAGGTTGAAGAAAATTATAAGATTTCAAAATCACAGACCTAGATGGGATTTTGAGAAGTTATATGCTCAAAGGCAAAGCGTGCAGGAGACCCTAGAAGAGAAACTCAGTGCAATTGAGGGTGAAAGCGGAAATGCTGAAGTGCAGTGGAACAATATAAAAGAATGCATGTTAGATACTATCAGTGATTTGGTTGGTAAAGTTGAGAAGATAGCAAGAAAACCATGGGTTACACAGGAGATGATGAGTAAAATGGAGGAGCGAAGGAAATGGAAGAATGTCAACAATGAAGAAGGCAGGAGGAAATACAGGAGACTGAGGAATGAATTGAAAAGAGCCACGGACAGGGCCAAAAAGGAATATCTTGAGAAGATATGTAATGAGATTATGGAATTTCAAAGAACAGGCCGTTATGATTTGATGTACATGAAGACAAAAGAACTAGGATGGAAAGAGAATCATGGGATTCAAAATGTTGGCATCGAAGACTCCCAGGGGAATAGAATAGTAGATCAGAGGAAAGTGCTGAAAATTTGGGAAAATTATATTTCAGAACTATATGATCGACCTAATCGGCCAGAAACCTTAGAAGTTGAACCGGAAGAAGAAGTAGATACAGACGAGAAAGGACCATATATTTTACAAAGTGAGGTGGAAAAAGCTATCAAGGAAATGAGGAAGGGAAAGGCTACAGGAGATGATGATGTACCTGGAGATGTGCTCAAGTTACTGGGAGAAGGTGGTTTGAAAACACTGACAAAACTAATGAACACCATATATGAAAGTGGAGAGTGGCCCAAGGACTTTACAGAAGTTACAATGATTGCCTTAAAGAAAAAGACAAAAGCTACAAAATGCAGCGACCATCGCACAATAAGTCTTATTGCACATACAGCAAAGATAATAGCAAAGATACTTAAAAGAAGAATTGAAAGGAAAATAGAGGATGTACTTGGAGAAGATCAGTTTGGATTTAGAAGAGGAAAAGGAACCAGGGATGCAATTGGGATGATGAGAATTATAGCGGAACGAACTTTGGAGATAGATGAAGAACTGTGTGTTTGCTTCATAGACTGGCAGAAGGCATTTGACCGGGTAAACTGGACCAAATTAATGCAGATCCTGAAAGAAACAGGTATCGATTGGCATGAAAGAAGATTGATTAGCAAATTGTACATGGATCAGAAAGTTAGAGTACGACTGGACAGGGGGGAGACAGGAAGTGTGCAGATTGGAAGAGGAGTTCGACAAGGATGCTGTTTATCACCAATTCTGTTCAACTTGTACAGCGAATGCCTTACCAAGGAAGCTCTGGATGGGCTCGGTGACTTCAAAGTAGGAGGGCAAATTATTCAAACTGTGAAATATGCAGATGACCTTGTGTTAATGGCTAAGGAAGAAACTGTGCTACAGGGCATGATTGATAGACTAATTGAAATTGGAAGGTGCTATGGCATGGAAATGAATGTGGAGAAAACAAAAGTAATGAAAATTTCGAGACAACCAACCCCAGTCACAATAAAGATAGACCAAAAACAACTGGAGAATGTGAAATGTTTTAAATATTTGGGTAGCTTGTTAACAGATGATGGAAGGTGTACTAGTGAAATTAAATCCAGGATTGCCATGGCAAAAGCTGCATTTAGCAAGAAGAAGAATCTTTTTACCAGCAAACTGGACTTAAACTTGATGAAGAAACTAGTGAAATGCTACATCTGGAGCATAGCTCTGTATGGGGCTGAAACATGGACACTTAGGGCAGTAGATCAGAAACATCTGGAAAGTTTCGAAATGTGGTGTTGGAGAAGGATGGAGATCAGTTGGACTGATTATGTGAGAAATGAAGAAGTGTTAATTGGAGTCAGTGTGCAGAGGAATATCCTACATGAAATAAGAAAATGGAAGGCCAATTGGATTGGTCATGTTTTACGCAGAAACTGCCTTCTAAAAGAAGTTATCGAAGGAAAGATAGAGGGGCGGATAGAAGTGACAAGAAGACGAGGAAGAAGACGTAAGAAGATGCTGGATGACCTTGGGGACAGAAGAGGATACTGTCATTTGAAGGAGAAAGCTCTAGATTGCATTAAGTGGAGGAATTGTTTTGGAAGAGACTCTGGACCTGTCGTCTCGACAGATTACTGATGATGATGATGATGATGATGATGGCGATCCTGACAAGATAGACAGACAGAAGTTTGTAAAAGGTATCTTATAATGCATAGGACAGATCCAGAATTAACTGCAAAATGTCCTATGGTCATACAAATGTAAACAACAGAAGAGAAGAGCAAACTGAAACAACTGCATGAAATGGAGTAATGAGAACCCACCAACAACAGCCTGTGTTCCATGAAAGAGTATCACTTCTTGTATTCATAATATTACATTTTTCTTTCCTTTTCTTCCTATTCTTTGACAGCGAATAAATAAGCTGACCTCAGCAAAACAACTTATGGGTTGACCTGCATATTTGTTAGTATTTGGTGTTTTTGAGGAAAGATTAAACAAAGAACATTCTCAAACTGGAAAATAACAAGTATTTCTTGATTAAATTTGAGGTTCACATAGCAGTGAATATTAAGAATGGTGTCTTCTGATATGATACTATGTAGCTCAGCACGGAGGTACCAATGTTTTGGAGAAATCCACTGCCTCCATCTTGAAGGCAAAGGCGGGATGTTGCTCCAAAATGTTGGTATCTATTGACCAGACCACACAACATCACATTCCAGACATCTGAAATCTTAAAGCATTCCCTATTATATTTTAATTTCTCCATGAACTTCTTATCTGGTTATTTTTAAGTTTCTTCATGGGATATAAAGAAAGCAACTTCATTACGGGCCAAACAAGGCAAGAGAATTAGGCTAATGTCATACAAGCGCTGAAAACAGCGGATGCTGCTCTTCCGTCGAAATCCATGGACGTCAAGCAGATTGCCATGAGCGCTATATTCCACGTATTGCCAAGTCAGTCTTTGGCGAGGCTTCAGTGCAAACACGGATTTTATTGACATTAGCCTGTAATACTCTGTAACAAATGGAGAATATTTCACCGAGCATTGGAGATGAGTGTTGATTTTGCAGATGACATTGTTAAAGGATGCTGTGTATTGCATAACTTCGTTCGTGATCGCGATGGATTTCAGTTGGAAGATACTTTGAATGTTGTAGGATTTGAAGACACTGAATTGGAAATTGACACTGTTGGAAGTTGAGCAAATGTGCAGAGAATTCGAGATACCTTAGCTGATTATTTTGCTAGCAATATTGGGCAAGTACCTTGGCAGTACACAGTGACAGGAAAGAAAAAGTTTACTGAACATTAAGGGCTTAAAAGTAAAAATGGTATTTCGTATAATGTAATAAGTAGTATTTTGTGATATGTCACCTGAAAGCCGGAATAATCTACTGCTAGGTAACAGCCAGATAAACACGCTGTCGTGAAAAGATTCTGGTCAACAGTCCGTTGCTAGGGAATGACTCGGCATTACTGGTTGCTAGGGAATCGATGGTTTTCTGTAGGTCTGATCCGAGTCTATATAAGGAGTCGATCACAAATTAATAAAAACAAGGTTCTCCTCACCATTGGCAATTTCCCAAGGTGCACACCGGTCCGCAATTTGCACATGGCATTAAAATCCCGCATCTTTATGACTATATAACAAAATTATGCAGGAAACAAGCAGAAGTCATACAATATCATGAAAATGAGAATGTTCGCAAGATCGGACAAGGCGAAGCCCAACACAGAATGTACAAGAGGCTTAAACTTGGCGGCAATCAGGCATGCTACCGTTCAAGTGACTAGACTACTGTGGTAGTGAATACTGGTAGAAACAGAGCAAAATCTGCTGTAGTGAGCCTGGAATGACAGAGGCCTTGTATATACTGTACACAGAAATAGGAATTAAGATTAAATTTGTAAAAATATGTAAATACTGATAATGGACTTACTAACACAGACTATGACTGACAAATGACAGACCTGACCTCTCGTCAGAGAGGGTGCCCCAAATGAACAGGACAGGAACTTTCATATAAGAAAAAAGAAAATCTGGTCATGAGCCCCACTTGGGGCTCGACACCAAGACAGACAGACTGACCAACCGTCAGTCGCAATGTGACTTTGACTTTGACTAATAAAATCATTTTCTCCACTTCTATTTCCATTCTAACCTGAACAAAACAGTGTGGAATTCTAACTTCACGTCCGCTATTTATCGCGCCCGTGTGACAACCACCATAAACAAATGCATATCTCAGCGCGGACGGGCCACGTTGCGTCATAGGGGATCGTGGAGCTACATTCACAGTGTCCGTGTTGCGGACGTGATTCTTAGCGTACGTGCCGTTTGACTGCTCTCACATATTTGTGTGCCTCCATGACATACGCAAATATTCATGGATGTGAGACAGTGATCATGTGACATTAGCCTTAGCTTCCATTGTTTATCTTCCGTCAAAATTGCAACAATTTTACATTCTACACTTCAACACTACATGTTTCAGGGTCAAATGGCCATCTTCAGGTGTTTTTATGTTACAGATATTTTACTAAAACTGTGTTAAAAAGTATTTCAATTTTAACAGAAGATAAACAATGGACGCTAATCTGAACAATTGCAACGGGATGCTGAAACACAGAATGAAGGCAACAGAACATGAACTGACGTACATGTGTGTGACTTTAGTGTAGACTGAGATGATTCTACACTTCCTGGCCTCGTTACTTTCAAAGAAAGCTTTCATCTCTTCATCCAGAAGCTTCATCCTCTCTTCAGCTGTCTCTTGTGGACTCTGCACATACACCATGAACATCAGGTCTTTTGCCTGATTGGTGCGTATAACCACCTCATGCCAGAACTTGTACTGGACAACGCCATCTGCATCTGATACCCTCTCCAGTCCTTGAATTGCATTCTCAAAAACCTGTCAAAACATAAGATGTGAATTCTCACGGCAGTGGATTTGAAGATTATGGTCTCCTGGTATATGATGCCACATCGTCTGGTATGTAAAAAAAGTTTTGGAGGATCTCACTGCCTCTTTCTTCAAGGTAGAAGACTGAGGATGGAGGTATGAGATTTCAAAACACTGCTACCTATCTACCAAAATACAGCGTCGCATCCCAGAAGAATATAATTTTCATGCATCAAAACATGATTTAGGCAATGTTTGCAATTCATTTGATTGCAACTGCAATAAATCTGGAGCCATCAACTGATGTGTGGAAATTGGATGCTGATTTAGCTCTTAATTTATAAACACAGTTTATTTACTGTATTTACACCATACCAGCTACTCAAATTATGCAGCACAAGGTAAGGTGGATGTGAATGAGAAAAGAATAAATGCATGACATCACGAATTTGGTTCTACTGGAAAACCGTCAATCAGTATAGCAATGTGTGGGCAGTGCTGAATCTAATTTGTTCACTTTTCTGGTGTAATCTTGGACTATGGTCATAAAAACCAGGCAGTGTGCTATTTAAAACTGGGTAAGCAGTTACATAAGAGAATTGAGAATTTTAACCTGAAATAACACCTTACAATTTTCAAAATTTAAAACAGGAGAACAAACATTTCAAAATAATGGAAAAATTATTTCCTCTTCACTGTTACATGAGCCCCAACATGACAAATTTGTTTAGATGAGCAATTCCCAGAGAGTGATTCTTTCTGACAGCATTGAATGATTTGTAGCTAGTAAGTTCATCCATATACAAGCAACACTACATGACTGAAGTCTGTTTTTCTCTATTCACAGTCCTCATAATGGAAGCACATGTTCAATAAATTGGTTCCTACCTGTGCTGCCTCTACCACGTGGGGAGGGTAGTTGTGTTTTACTGTTGAGACCTTATTCACTTTAGCACCACCTGCATGGAAGCCCACCACAAGCTGTCCAGTCTCTTCATCAATCCCTGTAATACATATTAACCCTATATAACCCTCCAAAGCCATAAGGTCTTACTTCTTAGTAACCACACTGTACCCCTATTACAAAGACCAACTGATTAATGCTATTTAGGTAAATAATTGCAGTTTATTCTGAGAATCATATGAAACACATAAATAACATTTATGGACAAAATGCCACAAGTAGTACGCTGCAGGTAAATGTCTTCAGGATGGGTAATGCGGCTGTTCCATAGTATTCTCTCTCTCTCTCTGTTCACAGTGAAAAAAATGTTCTTCAGAGCATAGGAAAAATTAATTCTGCAGTGTACAGCAGATACCATAGTATAAATCATACGATAAACCACATATAATGTTACGTTTACTGAACTCCAGAATACTAAATAATGTAGACCTGTGGTGAAATGCATACCCAATCAATTCTAATAATTACATAAATATGCTTTTCTAAAATTTTTTAAAAGGGGTCATCTTATTTTTAGGTAAATACAGTATATGATTTGCAAGTGTGTATACTCACCAACAGAAAATTTACATCTGTTAGCATAACGTGTTTCAGGGGGGCAACCCAGGAATCTTTCCAAGATACAGATTAATCCACCATACTTCATCTCTCTCTTGCCAATCATGCGATCATATTTTGGGTAATGCCGGCGCAAAAGTTTCCCTATCTTTTGTAGCTTCATAAAAAGATCCTCTGACTTCCGGTTAAGCTGAAAGCACAAAGACAGCAGTAACGTTAGATTTTATGTTCTCACTTTGGTGATTATTAAGAATGACATTTCTCTGGGATGAGATGCCTGCCATGTTGTCTCATAGACAGATACCAGTGTTATGGAAGAACTTGCCACCTCCAATCTCAAGACAGAAGTGTAACCCAAGCGTGGAAAAGAATGACACAGCTCTACAGTGCAGGAGAGGACAAGGGCTACGGCCCTGTGTGAACAAACAGGAATTGGCAGAACAGGATGAAGAATATGTGGCCCTTAAAGGGGTCTTTTCCAAAGGCAGAATCTCAGAAGAATACTGAAAGAATATTAACGATAAGTGAAAAAGAGAGATTTCAGAAGTTCACAGAGGCAAAGAAGAGGGCAATTTCAATAATCGAATTAATTTTATGCCCTACACTGGATAATGAGGAGCTTCATAATTTCTACTTCTAGCCAAACATCGCCAGAATGATCAAATTAAGGAGGATAAGGAGGGAAGGGCATTTAACATGCATGAGAGAGAATATATGTGCATACGAAGGTTTGGTAGGGAAACCTGAAGGAATGACATCACTAGGATGACCTAGCATAGATAGGAGGATGTTAAAATGGATCTTAAAGGAACAGGATTGGACAGTATTGACCAGATTCATCTGGTTCAGGATAGATCAAGTTGCAGGCTCCTGTGAACACAGCAATAAACTTCTGGGTCTCAAACAATGTTGGGAATAACTACTGGATTCTCAAGAAGGACTTCTCTTTATGGGGTAAGTACAATCACAGAAATTCCCTGGAGGGGCTGAAGATATCCACAGAAATTCTGAGTCGACATAGGGCCAAGAGCTGTACCCAGTATCTCCCCAAATGTAGAAGTGCCACCCTCTCAACCCAGTACTCAGTGCAGACATAATGCTACAACTGTTCCTAATCAGTATAGTGAAACATTACTGTTTCCTCCTGATGGATCTGCAACTGATGGGGACTGCAGCCAAGAAGCAGAAACAATCCATCAGAATGATAACTTGACTAAGTTTTGAGAGGTAATATGAGGGGGTACCCGAAAGAAACCGAACTTATTTTTTTTAAACTTATTTATTCAAATTTTAAGCACAAACCTTCAATCCCCTTCAAAGTACTCTCCACTTACACTAATACACTTGTCTAGTCTTTTATTCCATTTTTCAAAACATTGTCTAAATTCATCTTTTGAGATGCTTGACAGC